CGGCGCTACGACGTTGAATGAGATGATTCGTGTCGCCGAGCGTTTTGACACCATCAACTTTGCAGCGTACCAGAGATTCCAAGGTCGAACCGGGCAACCCACCACTGCTGGACATACGAACCGCTTCAACGGTCCTACTCCCATGGAGCTCGGTGTAGTGGACCAGCGCACACGCAACCAGTCCACGCTTACGTGCTACTCGTGCGGGAAAGTCGGCCACATCAAGCGACATTGCCCCAACCGACGCAACTTCGAAAGATCTCCGGGAAACGGACAGCGCCAGTAGCAGTGGGGCAGACCTCTGGCGCATCGCATGCCCCGCTTCTCCCGACCCCATTATTCATCGGCACCTCTGAACTCTACACCACATCAAACGCTCCATTCCCCGCCATCATTCTATACGCAAAAATAAAGAATCACTACGTTGACTTTCTGCTCGATACCGGCGCTTCAGCAAATTTCCTCTCTCCCTCAATTGCTGCTGAACTTTCTCTCCCCGAAGATCCCAACAGCAACCCGCAGGACGTGATCATGGCAGATGGTACTCGGCGGCGCTGCGGACCTACTCTCCTCCCCGTGCATTGCATGTTTGGAAGCCTGGAGGCGACGGTCACGTTCGAGCAACTGCATCTCGGCGGGTACGAAGGCGTTATCGGTCGACCATGGTTGCACCAGTTCGGACCGCGGATTTATTGGCGCAACGGAACTGTTACCGTCGGCAATTACGACCTCCCATCCCACTCCTTTTGCCGACCATGGTCATCCCCAACTAGCTCAGCTTCATCAACCCATCCACCCCAACCTGGCCCATCTCCATCTTCCCATATCCCCCCTCTCCCTCCTCCTCGCATAGCTCCCGCGCAGCAGTCAACACCACCCGGCTCCCCCGAAGTGATCAACACACCTCCTCCTTCTCCACCCCACCCAACCCAGCAGCCACGCCGTCCCATCATCCGCCTCGCCTCTGAAGTTATCAATCCACCAGCCCCCACCCCTCCTTCACCACCTCCTCCTCCTCATCTCCTAGTCATCTTTATGGCTCCCGAATCTGAAGCATCAGCTACTTCTCTGCCACCACCCATACAGCTCAACGGTTATACGGACGTATTTCCCAATGATCTACCCGCCGAACTTCCACCCGAGCGTGCTATTGACCATAGCATCCGCCTCATTCCAGGTTCTACACCGCCCGTGCGCCCAACCTATCGCATGAGCACCGCTGAACTTTTGGAACTACGACGACAACTCGACGACCTTCTTGAGAAGGGTTTCATCCGCCCCAGCACCTCACCATACGCTGCCCCCGTGCTTTTCACTCGCAAGAAGGAAGGTGATATGCGCCTTTGCATCGACTACCACGCCCTCAGCGCCATCACGGTCAAGAACAAGTACCCACTACCCCGTGTCGAGGAGTTGTTCGACATGCTTGGAGAAGCAACGGTTTTCAGCAAGCTCGACCTACGCTCCGGTTACCATCAGATCCGCCTCGCCGAAGACGACATCAACAAGACAGCGTTTCGCACCCGCTACGGCCACTTCGAGTTCCGAGTACTTCCGTTCGGCCTCACCAACGCACCAGCCACGTTCATGGGACTCACGAACGACATTTTTCGGCCCTTCCTCGACCGCTTTGTCATCGTGTTCCTCGATGACATCCTCATTTTCAGCAAATCACTCGAGGAACACGCCCAGCACCTACGCATCGTCCTCGACACGCTTCGCCAACACCGCCTCTACGCCAAGCTCTCCAAGTGCACCTTCGCCCGTTCAAGCATCGGATTTCTCGGCCACGTCATCAGCTCCAAGGGCATTGCTACGGACTCCGCAAAGGTCCAGTGCCTTGCTGATTGGCCAGCACCACGCACGGTAGCGGAGCTGCAAAGTTTCATCGGCCTCGCCAAGTATTACCGCAAATTCATCTTCAACTTCTCTCACATCTGCGCCCCTTTGACCGATCTCTTCCGTCAGGAGCTGCCTTTCAATGGGGACTACCGCAGCAGACCGCCTTCAACTCAATCAAATCAGCACTCACCTCTGCACCGGTCCTCACCGTCGCTGACCCATCGCGCCCATACTTCATATGGACCGATGCCTCCGATGTCGCCGTTGGTGCCATTCTTTGCCAAGACCACGGCCATGGGATGCAGCCACTTGCATTCGAGTCACGCAAACTTCGACTGGCAAAGGTCGAGTGCCTTGCTGATTGGCCAGCACCACGCACGGTAGCGGAGCTGCAAAGTTTCATCGGCCTCGCCAAGTATTACCGCAAATTCATCTTCAACTTCTCTCACATCTGCGCCCCTTTGACCGATCTCTTCCGTCAGGAGCTGCCTTTCAATGGGGACTACCGCAGCAGACCGCCTTCAACTCAATCAAATCAGCACTCACCTCTGCACCGGTCCTCACCGTCGCTGACCCATCGCGCCCATACTTCATATGGACCGATGCCTCCGATGTCGCCGTTGGTGCCATTCTTTGCCAAGACCACGGCCATGGGATGCAGCCACTTGCATTCGAGTCACGCAAACTTCAACTGGCAGAGCGCAACTACGCCACACACGATCGGGAGCTCCTCGCCATTGTCCACGCTATCAAGACATGGCGTTGTTATGTGGAGCTGCAGCCCGTCACCGTCTACACCGACCATCGCCCTCTTCAACACCTGAAAACACAGCCCGTGCTCAGCCGCCGCCAAGCCCGATGGGCTGAGTTTTTGGAGCAGTTCGTACCCTCACTTCAGATTATCTACCACCCCGGGAAACTCAACCCAGCCGACATCTTGTCCCGACCCCCACCACCAGCCCCACCATCCACCGACCAGCCTCAACCAACCACCAACCAGCCCCACCAAGCCCCAACCAGCCCCACCTCATCACCTCCACCTCATACTCCGAACCCACCCTTGCAGCTCCATGGAATCAGCAGCATCACTTGGGTTGATACCTTCATCACGAAATTTCAGCGCGCCTACAAACGTGACCTGTTTTTTGTCAAGCAGGCACCCGAGGACCCGGCCTACTCATTTGAAGACCCATTTTGGTTCAACACCGTCACCAAGACCATTTGTGTCCCTGCAGATCGTTCCTTACGGCAGCTGCTACTCTCCGAATACCATGACACCGTTACCGGCAGCCACTTTGGTGTTGAGAAGACCTACGCACGCCCAACAACTCAAAGCACGCACCACCAACCGCTACGGACTCCTCCAACCCATCCCTCCACCAACCAAAGTGTGGGATGAAGTCACCATGGACTTCATCATGGACCTGCCCCGAACACCCCGCAGCTACAACGCCATCCTAGTAGTCGTCGACCGACTCTCCAAAATGACTCACTTCATCCCCACCCACACAACCGTCACCGCACCCGAAACAGCCCGGCTCTTCTTCGATCACATAGTCCGCCTACACGGTCTCCCATCTGCCATAATTTCAGACCGTGACCCCCGCTTCTTGAGCAACTTTTGGCAAAGCCTCTTCAAGCTTCATGGAACCCGGATGAAGTTTTCTACCGCGTATCACCCTGAAACGGACGGGCAAACTGAACGGATGAACCGCACGCTAGAAGACGCCCTCCGTGCACAAGTTACCGCTCGCCAAACTGATTGGGATCTCCACCTCACCGCCATCGAACTCGCATACAACAGCACACCCCACCTTTCCACCAGTCAGCCACCCTTTTACCTCGCAACCGGACAGCACCCACGCCTCCCCACAACCCCACCCTCCCACCTCTCACGCACACCAGCAGCCTTTGCGTTCCTCACTTCACTCGAATCAGCCATTGACGCCGCTCGCACCTCCATCCTTCAAGCACAAGTCAAACAGACCCACTATGCCAACTCCCACCGCAAAGATATCCGCTTCAAGGTTGGCGATCAAGTGCTTCTCTCCACTGACCACCTACCTCTCCTACGCAAATGCACAACCAGAAAACTTGCCCCTCGCTTCATTGGCCCGTTCACCATCACCCGAGTCCTCTCACCGGTCAACTACCGGCTCCACCTACCCAGCTATATGAAGATTCACCCCGTCTTCCATGTCCAGCGCCTCCGCCCTTTCCGTGCACCTTCTCATGACCGTCCAGCCACACGCCAACTGCCACCGATGTTCGAAGGCAGCCCCAGCCTGTTTCAGGTTGCATCTATCACTGCTCATCGCGACACACCTCATGGTCGTGAGTTTCTCGTTCATTGGAAGGACCAGCCCGCTAGTGACGACTCATGGGAACCGGAAAGCCAGCTTGACCGTGCTGCAACTGCTGTGAATCGGTACTTGACCAGCCACGGTTTGGCGCCGTGGACGGCGCCACTTGGAGGGGGAAGTAATGTAACAGTGTGGCAGCCGAATGCTGCCAAGTACAGTGCAGGTGGGCGGAAGTCAATCGCCACCTCACCCAAACCTCCGATTAGTCAAGCGCCTCAACCTGCAGCTGGGCGACCAGGTCCTGACGCGCAGCCCAAGTCAAACCGTCGCGCGAAAATTACGAAACGCAGAACACCCAAGTTCCGACGCCTCGCCGACTTCGCCAACCACGCCGACGAAATTACAGCCCCGTAATCAAACTCGCCGACCAATCCCGTACCGCAATAATCCCCTGAATTTCACGGCAAGGTTCATTTACAAGGGAAGGGTTACCAATAGGGAATTCAGGGTGTCGCGACTTGGTAGTGCGACTCGATTTCTGAATGTGCTCTATAAAATTGTACTGTCAAATTTGTAAAGGCATATTGTAATTTCCAGAGAATTCCAGAGAGCATCTTGTACCCGTTACTCAAGCTTACTCAAGCCTACTAAGGCTGATACCTTCCTGCCAGCAACGTTTCAGGGTGAGTCCGTCACACCGAGCCGACCTTAGCGTGCACCCCACTGCAAATAATTGCTGCGCCGTCAACCTCCAATAATCGCGTCCGCGCAGCCGTCTGCGCTCCACTGCGCTCTTCTCCCTCTTCCCAGCGCGCGCGACACGTCTTCATCGCGCCATCACCACCAGCTCCCATAATGATGACCAAGTATTTAAACCCGCTCGTCTCCTATCCGTCGATGTGCCCACGCCTCTGCCCTTCACCTCACACGTCACTGCCTTGCTTCTGCCTTCAACCAACCTGAGCCTCAGCAAGCGTCCCGCCAGTTTTCCCCAGCGCGGCGCGTCTCTGCCTCGTGTGTCGCCCACACGACCTCAGTCGACGGCGTCGAAGGCCCGCCATCATTCTTGCGGCGTGGATTTGAGGAGCTTTCTTCAGCTCTTTCGCGCTACCAAGCCTCAGCATCTCGTTGCGCGCCGTCCGTCGTCGCCATGGCTCGATCGCTCTCCGCAATTGCGCTCGTCGCTGGCCTGCTCGTCCTGCTCGGTACGCCCCACTCCCTGCTCGGTACGCCCCACTCCCTGCTCGGTACGCCCCACTCCCTGCTCGGTACGCCCCACTCCCTGCTCGGTACGCCCCACTCCCTGCTCGGTACGCCCCACTTCTTCGCTCCGGAATTTCCTTTCGCCCGCTCCAATTCGCTTGTTCCATCACTTTCGTGCCGTGCCTTGCTCCTTCTTCCCCTCCCCTCCCCATGCACATGTCATCCCTCGCGCCCTGCTCTCGCATCGTGGCCTCCCCCCCGCCGCGCCCTGCACTGGGTCCAATCATCTGCTCCTCAGCCGCAACTCACGCAGAGGTACGCTTCGCCTCGCGCCTCTCGCCTCTCGCCTCGCGCCTCTCGCCTCTCGCCTCGCGCCTCTCGCCTCTCGCCTCTCGCCTCTCGCCTCTCGCCTCTCGCCTCTCGCCTCTCGCCTCTCGCCTTCCCCGCCTGATTTCTGTTGCCATCGCTTGCGCGTTCGGCCCGCGCCTCTCCTCCCGTGCTGCTCGTCCTCGGCACGTGCATTCGAGTCTCAACGCCGCGCATGCTCCACTCGTCCTCACCCGTTTCCCCACTTCCGTCCCGCTCATCCCACGCTGCTCGGCGCGTGATTTTAGAAGTCAGTTGATACGGCGCTCACATGCGAGCAATTCATCTCAGGGACCTTGCAAACACGTTTTATGTGCCATCCTTGCTGCCCCATGCACACAGGCGCGTGAGGTCGTGGTGGGCGGCAACAAGGGGTGGACGTACGGTGTGAGCAGATGGAAGCCCACTCCCGCTGCCCGTGCAGGCGATGTGCTCGGTGCGTGCCCCTCACATGCGTCGCCACTGCACTCCTCACACCTCCCCTCGCTGAAATTCCTTGGCTGCTAGTTGCATACCCCGTGCTCTTGCTTTATGCATTGCCTTGATGGCCGCTTCATGCTCCCCCTTATCTCGCATGGGGTCCCATATCGCTGTGCATCACGTGTGCTCTACTCGTCTGGCATGGCATGGCAGTTTTCAAGTGGACGGGTTACCACGACGTGTGGCTGATGAGCGGCGCTGCTGCGTACAACAGTTGCAACTTCAACGGTGCCAAGGAGAAGGCTAAGGTGGCCAGTGGCAAGACGTACAGGTCAGCTCCATGCGTGTGTCGTGAAGTTTCTCTGGTTGTCTCAGTCCGCCCATGCTTCTGATTTATGCCGCCTCCCTTGCTCACTCATGCACCGTTGGTGCTGCCACCACAGGCCAGGGAGAATAACTCTGGGGCCTTGTGAACACCTTAATGCAGAAATTCGCGTCTTGTATTCCATCCTTCACAGCTCTTGCACCTACCTGCCTTGTGTGACTTGCCTTCCCTTGCTTGGCCCCCTCCCCATTACAGGTTCACAGTGCCGACGACAGCAAGGGGCAGCACGCTGTATTTTGGCTGCCAAGTGTACGGCCACTGTGGAATGAACATGAAAGTGGCCGTTGCCGTCCAGAAGTGAGGGCGTTTCTCGCCATGCAGGAGCCCTTAATTCGCCAGAGAACTTGACATGAGCTGAGCTGAGTCACACATCAGTGAAATTGTTATATACATGTGAGCCTCTGTGAAGCATTGGGTGCCTTTTTCTATGTTTAGTTTCCAAGAACACAATTTCCGTAAGCAGGGCCCAAAATAATTAGGCAAAAATGCTTAAAATAAGTTACCCCGATCTCAAAGTGCCATTTCCTTGGGTAGGCAGTTTTACCGGCTATGAGTGCTTCAGTGTCATGCGTGCTTCTTCATGTCAAATATTTCTGTCAGCCACGCGTGCATCTCCTGCCGTGTCAGCACTCGCACCTTGCACGCTCGGCTCTCCACGATAGACCTGCTATGCCATGAAGTGCCCATAGCATGCCATAACGTGGAAAGCCATGTCATGTGGAGCCATGCCAATGTGTCATGCCCAGGCACACAGAAGAAGCCACATGCTATCAGATCGAGCCCTGTCGTCACAGATGGCATGTGTGCTGCATGTGTGTGATGTATGTGCCGACAAGTGTGTGGCATGCATGTGGCATGCAGGTGGCATGCATGTGGCATGTGTGTGGCATGCATGTGGCATGCAGGTGGCATGCATGTGGCATGTGTGTGGCATGCATGTGGCATGCATGTGGCATGCATGTGGTATGTGTGTGGCATGCATGTGGCATGCATGTGGTATGTGTGTGGCATGCATGTGGCATGCATGTGGCATGTATGTCGCAAGTGGCTTGTCAGTCTACAGGACTCGGGCAACCCTCCGATTCATCCACCCCCATCAAGGAACACACTGTTCCCTTGCACCTCCTTCCTACACCTTTCGCTTGATTTCTCCCAAGCTCAACCCCTTTGATCGTGCTTCTTGATTCGTTCATCTCCCCCTCCTGCATCACTGCCCGCATGCCTCACCGCATGCCTCAACACGCGCCCTCCATCACCTAAACCCGCACCTCACCACGGAGAGAGCCCTGGAGCGCACCTCAACACGGAGAGAGCCCTGGAGCGCACCTCAACACGGAGAGAGCCCTGGAGCGCACCTCAACACGGAGAGAGCCCTGGAGCGCACCTCAACACGGAGAGAGCCCTGGAGCGCACCTCAACACGGAGAGAGCCCTGGAGCGCACCTCAACACGGAGAGAGCCCTGGAGCGCACCTCAACACGGAGAGAGCCCTGGAGCGCACCTCAACACGGAGAGAGCCCTGGAGCGCACCTCAACACGGAGAGAGCCCTGGAGCGCACCTCAACACGGAGAGAGCCCTGGAGCGCACCTCAACACGGAGAGAGCCCTGGAGCGCACCTCAACACGGAGAGAGCCCTGGAGCGCACCTCAACACGGAGAGAGCCCTGGAGCGCACCTCAACACGGAGAGAGCCCTGGAGCGCACCTCAACACAGAGAGAGCCCTGGAGCGCACCTGTGGCGGTCGAGGAAGTCGGAGTATCGCAGCAGCACCTGCGAGGCCACCTCCCCGCGCACCAACGCGCGCAGGTCGCCGTTCCCGATGCTCCACCCGCTCTGCTGTGCCTGCACGCCCTCCAGCAGCCCCTGCAGCGCCTGCACCCGCCGAGTGAACGCCGCCACGTCGCCCCGGTGGTCCGACAGCACAGCCGCCACCTGGCAGGGTGGGTGGTGGGGGGACGAGCATGGTCACCCGTGGTGCGCACTGGTGTGCTGTGAGAACTCTTAAAGCGCATGTGGAGACTGGAAGTCAGCCGGCAGGGAGTGGAGGAGGGCCTGAGGGTAGCTTCAAGAAGGCTTGCACGCCCCCTCGATGATCCAATAAAGCGGTGACCACCCGATTGGGGTGTTGGTTGGGAGTGGTTGAATGGCTGTATGAGCTTATCATTGTTCAAAGGTTCTTGTTCGACAAGGAAGGTACGAGATTGACAAGGATGCAGACTGACAAGGATGCAGATTGACAAGGATGCAGAGTGACAAGGATGCAGACTGACAAGGATGCAGATTGTTGGTGCTGAGCGCAGTAGAGAAAGTCAGACTGCAACCTCCATTTGAGCGCAGTAGAGAAAGTCAGACTGCAACCTCCATTTGAGCGCAGTAGAGAAAGTCAGACTGCAACCTCCATTTGAGCGCAGTAGAGAAAGACAGACTGCAACCTCCATTTGAGCGCAGTAGAGAAAGACAGACTGCAACCTCCATTTGAGCGCAGTAGAGAAAGACAGACTGCAACCTCCATTTGAGCGCAGTAGAGAAAGACAGACTGCAACCTCCATTTGAGCGCAGTAGAGAAAGACAGACTGCAACCTCCATTTGAGCGCAGTAGAGAAAGACAGACTGCAACCTCCATTTGAGCGCAGTAGAGAAAGACAGACTGCAACCTCCATTTGAGCGCAGTAGAGAAAGACAGACTGCAACCTCCATTTGAGCGCAGTAGAGAAAGACAGACTGCAACCTCCATTTGAGCGCAGTAGAGAAAGACAGACTGCAACCTCCATTTGAGCGCAGTAGAGAAAGACAGACTGCAACCTCCATTTGAGCGCAGTAGAGAAAGACAGACTGCAACCTCCATTTGAGCGCAGTAGAGAAAGACAGACTGCAACCTCCATTTGAGCGCAGTAGAGAAAGACAGACTGCAACCTCCATTTGAGCGCAGTAGAGAAAGACAGACTGCAACCTCCATTTGAGCGCAGTAGAGAAAGACAGACTGCAACCTCCATTTGAGCGCAGTAGAGAAAGACAGACTGCAACCTCCATTTGAGCGCAGTAGAGAAAGACAGACTGCAACCTCCATTTGAGCGCAGTAGAGAAAGACAGACTGCAACCTCCATTTGAGCGCAGTAGAGAAAGACAGACTGCAACCTCCATTTGAGCGCAGTAGAGAAAGACAGACTGCAACCTCCATTTGAGCGCAGTAGAGAAAGACAGACTGCAACCTCCATTTGAGCGCAGTAGAGAAAGACAGACTGCAACCTCCATTTGAGCGCAGTAGAGAAAGACAGACTGCAACCTCCATTTGAGCGCAGTAGAGAAAGTCAGACTGCAACCTCCATTTGAGCGTGCAAGCCCACTTGGTGATATGGCAGCCTTCCTGCCAACCTGATACAGGAGTTGCCATTCTTTGTTGTGCTCCCACCTTATTAACGGTGCATAACATGCAGCCACCTCACCTTATTCACAATACATCGAATGTAGACATCTCGGTGCTTCTCAAGGTCCTTGGCGTTTTCGTCCACCCATGCCCGCCCAAGGATCATCTTCACATGCTGCCTGCCATGCCCATCACATCACATCCATGCACACCGCATCATTCCAGCTGGGTACGCAATCACATGCCCCTAACAACACCACACCTGTGCCATACGCGGACTACAACTACTATTACCACCAAGAGGGATGCTAGCACTAACAAGAACAACACCACCAACAACAGTAGATACCAAGCAGATACCGACGGGAGGGACCCACTCCACCTTGCGCTGGATAGACTCACTCCTCCACCTTGCGCTGGATGGACTCACTCCTCCACCTTGCGCTGGATGGACTCACTCCTCCACCTTGCGCTGGATGTACTCACTCCTCCACCTTGCGCTGGATGTACTCACTCCTCCACCTTGCGCTGGATGGACTCACTCCTCCACCTTGCGCTGGATGGACTCACTCCTCCACCTTGCGCTGGATGGACTCACTCCTCCACCTTGCGCTGGATGTACTCACTCCTCCACCTTGCGCTGGATGGACTCACTCCTCCACCTTGCGCTGGATGTACTCGCAGTTGTTCATGAGGAACACGGCGCGCATCGCCTCGTCATGGAACGCGTCGCCCTTGCGCTCCAGATTCGCCTTGAGCGCCGCCAGCAGGTGGCGCGTGGCGGCGCCCACTCGCACGGCGCCCTCGTGGTGGTCGCCGCCCTCGTCGTACACCAGCAGCAGCGTGCCCAGGTACAGCGTCCTGTGCCGCCAGGGGCACCCAGACACGCCAGATTGGGAGGGGCGTGTCGGATGGGGTGAGGGGAGAAGGGGGGAGAAAGGGACGGGTGGGAAAGAAGGGAAGAGCAGTGGGGTGAGTGGCCTCACGGAGGCACCTTTGGCAGAACACATCAACGTCATGATCCTTACTGGTGGGCGGGAACAGATAAGCTGACCACGCAGCTGGCCACCTCAAGCTGATGCACAGGGTGTAAATATTATTTACACATAAGCGTAGAATGTGTTTCCTCAACACCTCTGAGTACAGGAAATGGTTACACATGACATGGCATGACATGGCATCACATCACATCACATCACATCACATCACATCACATCACATCACATCACATCACATCACATCAAATGACATGACATGGCATATGACATGAAATGACATGACATGACATGACGTGGCATGAAATGACACGACTTGACATGACATGAAATGACATGACATGACATGACATGACGTGGCATCACATGGCATCACATCACATCACATGGGGGAGGGGCTACGCACTCGTCGAAGTAGAGCAGGATGAAGTTCACCACGTAGCTCGTCAGAGGGTGCACGTCCGGACTGCCTCTCACAACCACGTCCTGCCCCGCCGACCCCCCACCCTCCTTGCTCTCCGCCTTGCTCTTCCCCCGCGTCTCGCCCTTGCCCTCCTCGTGCCCCTTGCTGACCTTCTTCGGCAGCAGCCCCCCCAGAATGCCCCTCCCGCTTGACGCGCTGCCGCTGACCGTCCGATTGTGCGACCCACCGCCCCCGTGGTGAGATCGATGGCTGGCATCCGATCTGTGGCTCGAGTCCAAATCCTCCTCCCCATGACTCCCCCATCCCCCATCTCCGTCCTCCTCCCCCTTCCTCTCTTCCCCCCCCTCCTGGCCAGCGGCTGAAACCAAAGGAGGAGGAGGGGGGAAGGGGGGGGTGGAGGAGGAGGTGGAGGAGGAGCGGGGGAGAGGGGGGGAGGGGGCGGGGGGCGGGGTGGGGTCGTGGAGCACGATGTGCTGGAAGTCAGCGATGGTGCCCCTCACCGTGCGGCACAGCGCCGCACAGATGCCCACCAGATGCTGCCGCACCTCGCCGCCCGCCTCCCCGGGAAACTGCTTCTCCACCTGCCGGGTTGGAGAGGAGGAGTGGGAGAATGAGGAGGTGGGGTGTGAAGTGAAGCAGGGGGCGGTGCAGTGCAAGGGATACGCAAGGGACGGGATGGTAGCATACAACTGGCTTGCTCTAGTGTAGGGTGTATGAGTGAAGTGTACCCACGGCATAACTCACTGCATGACACACTGCATGAAGGAATGACTCACGGCATGACTCACAGCATGACACACTGCATGAGGGAATGACTCACGGCATGACTCACTGCATGACACACTGCATGAGGGAATGACTCACGGCATGACTCACTGCATGACACACTGCATGAGGGAATGACTCACGGCATGACTCACTGCATGACACACTGCATGAGGGAATGACTCACGGCATGACTCACTGCATGACACACTGCATGAGGGAATGACTCACGGCATGACTCACTGCATGACACACAGTGCATGACACACGGCGGGGCATGAGGGAATGACTCACAGCGGGGCGCAGGTCGAGCAGTGCCTCCACCATCTCGAGCAGCGAGAAGACGTGCTCGGGGGCGCGCGGCATGTCCGCGATGATGTCGCCAAACGCGTGCAGCTGCTTCAGCGCCGGCACCGCCACGCCCGTCAGACACCGTGCCCGCACCGAGGGGGAGGGGGAGGGGCCGCGCCCGATGATGTCGCTGCACACCGCCTCCTCTGCTGCGATCAGCACCAGCATCTGCACACACGCAGAGGAGGACTGCGGTTTTATATTGTGTCAACAGTAGGTGGCCGTGGAGAACGAGCCTTGCGGCATGAGCTAATATGAGTGCAGGTGCTTCAGTGTTGGCAGCGCCGCAGCCGTCACCGTCAGGCAACGACCAACAGGAACAGGAGTCGGACAAAGCAGGAGAGGGAGAAAAGAAGAAGAGGAAAAAGAAGCGGGGGATGGAGAGACGCAGGCAAGAAAGGGGGAGAGAAGCAGGAGAGGGAGAGAAGCAAATACGCAGCGTACAAGCCTCTCAGAATGGAGGCAAGACCAGAGCGGACTCAAGAAAAGCTGGGGCCAAGCCAACCCTCCTACAGAGCCGCCTGGCCTGGTAGCGCCAGCTTGCGACCGGCTCAGTGCTCATAGCTATTCTCCACCGATTGTTACCGTGAGCTTGAGGTTCTCGACCCAGCGCTTCATAAGGGGCTCGAGGTCGGCCCAGGGCAGCGCCACCACCTCGTCACGCGTCAGCGCCGCACTGCCCAGCCGCTCCAAACACCGTAGCAACGCTGCTGCCCGCTGCTCCCTGCACACAGCAATGGGCAGAGAGGCCGGGGTGGGTTGAACGGGGAGCGGGGCGAAGTGGGTGTGGGGAAGTGCGTGTGCGGAGAGAGAGAGGAAGAGGAGAAGGGATATTTCAAGGTGTCGACGGGGGAAGGACTAGGATGAATAACACGTGCGTTGACATAGAAGACCCTGAGATGACTAGGCCTACAATGTGCATTGACGGGTCGATGATGCCGTGCACATAGAGGAACAATGATAGGCCAGCACGCACGACTTACTCGTACACTCGCAGACACGCTTCCTCGTAGCTATTGCCCACCATCCATGCCGCCATGGCCCGAAGCGGCTTCACGGCCTCAGGCCGAACCAGAGGCACGGGCGGCACCACCTCGCCTGGCTTCATGCAGGCTGCAGATTGGACGAGCGCCTTCCGATCCGGTACCAGGCTGCACGCCAGGGAGGACGGCGGTGGGGTGCGGTGGGGTGAGGTGGGGTGAGGTGTGGTGGCGTTGAGATGGGGGGCGGATGGAGTGGGGAGGATTGGGGAGGACTGAGGAGGAAGTGGGATGGAGCGTAAGAGAGGCCGGAACGAAAGAGAGTGGAGGAAGGAACGAAGAGGGGGGAGTGGGGAGGAGAGTGGAGGACGTGGGGAAGAGAGTGGAGGGATTGGGGAGGGAATGTGGATGAAGTGAATAGCACTAACAAGTGAAAACCTACCCTAGCCCACCTTGCACCGGACAGAACCTCTCCGAACTCCTCTTCCAGTCGCCCCACCGCATCGTCCATCAGCCCCCTCCCCTGCCGCAGCTCCACGCGGCAGCTGCCCAAATAGCTGTGCGCCTCGAAGAACCGCAGCGCGTCCGACAGCTTATCGAGCGCCGTGAGGTATGGGTCTAGCCGGTTCCTAGGGCCGGGCGCGAGCTCTGGCGCCACCTGATTGGTCGGGACGGAGCAGACCCCAACCTTCTATGCAAAAGGATAGGCGGTGAACGTTTTCCTACGAATGAGCCAGTAGAGAAAACCTACTGCAAGTCGGCAATGTGATGCTGATGCTTTATAACGCGTACCAACGTGGGCGTATCAAGCTTCTCAAGAAGAGTCCGTGGGTCTCATTTGACGATGTTCTCGAAACCCTTGTTACCAGAACCGCCAGTTACAACGCCATTCGCCGTCTCCACTTCACAACCCTCCTCCCCCCTTTCCGCGGCATCACCACTCCCGCGCATCACGGCTGCTTCCGCCACGAATCCGCTACGCTAGTTGAAAAGTGCGCATCGAACTGTTAGGGTTGGTTCGCCCAACCACGGAACCTACGGCGAAAGTCTCTACGACGGCGGGATGATGGCGAAATGGAAGCGCGTAGATGATTCGTGAATGAAACGGTGGAATTCGGCCTACGGTGAAGAATTGAAGCTACGGCGTGAGAAGCGGGAGAGAAATCGGGAAGGAACTAGAGAAATGGAGGAAGAGAGAAGGAGAAGTATCGAGATTGAAGTTTACGAGGGGAAAATGTGCTTCGAGACCAAGGCGTGTTCGAGAAATTTCTAGATTCGGGCTCAAGGAAGGTTCGGTGAATTCGGTTCGGTTTCGTGTGCGATACGAGGTGAAACGAGGCGCACGCGGTTACTTGGGAAACAAGTGAAGTTACGAATCGCATTTTGTACCTTGGTTGGCTATAAAACTGCTTGTACTCATTCTGGAAATAACAACATTGATCAGTTGGAGATTCTGAAAATTGCTGAAGTGTGTATTGACAACTTCAAGCAGAGCTGCGCATATCATTGGATTCGTGAGATTGTGGAGAACACGATAGGCGATAGCAAGTAGACTATGTTAGAGTGAGGATCTTGGATAGGATAGGAATGCTTAAAAGAGATTGGTAGCGGAAGTCTTTGTTGTAACAACTCAGGTCATAGTGAATGTAAATGACCAAGTTGATTAAAAGATAGAATACAAGGGATATATTAGTCCTAGACTTGGCCAGATTGGCTTCCTTTTTCGCCTTGGCTAGATTGGCAAGCTTCGGAGTGATGTGATGTTCCATGTCGTGATCGTTCTCGTAGTCATAATAACATCCTTCCTCGTCGTATGCGATGCGTGCAGGTGGTGACTCCTGGATCCACTCCGGCGCTTCCCAGTCGAATTGCATCCGTCCGACTGTCAACTCGTTGTAGGTTGGATCGTTCTCTTCTTCTTCCTCGACTGATCCTTCGGGCCGCTCCTGTGACAATAAGAACAAGAATGAATGCACTAGGAAACAGGTGGGTACAAGTAGGAAAACCTAAAAGTGTTGTACCCCATATTGTCTACCCCACTACAGCCTACACAGACTGTAGCATATAAGTCTGACACACCCCCATAGGCAAAGTGGGGGAGAACAAGGGGTCACAAGACCAGTCAAGCAAAGCAAAACAAGCTCAGGGTGGATCACAACGTCACCACACATTCCGAGCACAGGTTCAAGGCCACAAGGCCAGTTCACATGCAGGATCATATATATAAAGATAAACAGGCAAGTCCAGGTATATATAGAACACAGTACAAGCAAGGTCAAGAAGTAAGCAAGTGAGGCCAAGTAGGCACAAGACCTAGCATCGTACAAAAGCGCTGATGATCACAAGGCTGAAGTGCCTTGGTCAAGATATCAGCAGTGTTGGCCTGAGAGGCCACGTAAGCAAGGCGCAGCTGACCACGCTGCTGTAGCTCACGAGCAAGGAAGTAGCGAAGAGCAATGTGCTTCATTCTGTGCTCCAGTCTGTGCTCCCGACCCAAGGCCAACATGGCCTTGTTGTCTACGTACAGAATTGGAGGAGAACGAGGTGCCTCTCCTAGGTCAGTCAGCAGGTAGGTGAGCCAGCGTAGCTCCTGTGCAGCCATGGCCCCCGCGTAGATCTCAGCCTCACAGCTGGAGCCGAGAACAGAAGACGAGCGGGTAGACCGCCACGAAACAGAGCCAGAACCAAGGCTGAAGGTGTAACCCTGTAACGACCGCTGCGTAGCCTGGTCGTCAGCCCAAGAAGCGTCTGCGTGACCTGTGAGGACCACTGAACGCCGCCCTCCAAGCACAAGCCCCATGCCCGACGTACTGCACAAGTAGCGCAACACCCTCTTCGCTGCAGCCATGTGCTCTGGTCGGTGTCTCCCAGGAGCAACATAGCGTGCCAGGATGCTAAGAGGGTATGCAAGGTCAGGTCGTGTGCAGGTCATCAGGTACATGAGGCAGCCAACAAGCTCTGGGTACGGGCCACTCGGCTCTACGGACTCATCCGAAGGCAGAGCTGAGAGCGAGTGGCGAGTAGACAGAGGAGTGGCCTGAGGCGAGGAGTACGTGAAGTCGAAGCGCTGAAGGACCTGCTGCACCATGTGTGACTGAGTCAGGGTAATGGTGCGCTGTGCTCTGTCCCGGGTGATCTGCAAGCCAAGGTAGCTGCGCAGTTCACCCAGGTCTGTGCACGTGTGTCTCTTCTGCAGCTCCGACTTCACCAGAGCGAGTCCAGCAGTGTCAGCAGTGGCAAAGACCAAGTCGTCGACGTATACGAGGATGTAGAACGGCGGCAAAGAGGTGTCGGTGCGCAGAAACAGCGACGGGTCGGCAATAGAAGGAGCAAACCCAAGAGCCGCAAGTGTGGTCCTCAGTGTGTCGTGCCACTCACGGGGCGCCTGGCGGAGACCGTAGACTGGCCGCCGGAGGCTCCACTGGGTACCAGGAGGAAACGACCCAGTGAAGCCAGGTGGGCGGCGCAGCCAGATCTCCTCGTGCAGGCTGCCCTGCGAGAAAGCTGTGCTGAAGTCAAGAGAGTGAAGCTCGTAGTCACGCTGAGCGGCTATGTGCAGCAGCACCCGAAGAGTGGTCATCTTCGGGGTGGGAGAGAAGGTCTGAAAGTAGTCAACTCCCTGCCGCTGACTGAAGCCTCGAGCCACGTAACGCGCCTTGAAGACAGGCGGAGAACCCGGCGGCCGCTTCACCCTGAAAATCCACATGCCACTGACGATGTTCGCCCCAGGTGGGGGAACCTCGTCGACGTAGGTGCCTGTGGACTTCCAGGAAGCCATCTCTGCGTCCATGGCTGACTGCCACTGTGAGGAGTAGGGACCCTCGATCGCCTCAGCGTACGATCGAGGAGTCGGGATGTCTGGTGCATCCGGGTCTCCCTCAGGGGCAATCAGCACGGACACGAGATGAGGCAAAGCAGCAGCAAAACACCGGAACTCCTCCTGCCTGTCCTCAAGGACGTCCGTGCTAAGAGCACACTCACCCCCGACGAACGGAGGACAGACAGACTCAGACTCAGCAACAAGACTCGCGGCGTAGTCTAGACGACAGTGAGCAGCGAAGTCGACAAGCTCAGTAACTAAGGCAGACGCAGCAGTGGACTCAAAGGAAGGGTCAGTGACAACAGTAGCCAGGAGACGCGTGACAGTAGGACTGGCAGCACGAAGGGAGTCAGACGCCGGGTCAGCAAGAGCAGGAAGAGAGGACTCAGGAGGAGACGGCAAAGGGACGCGCTGCGGAGCAGTGGAAGGACGCAGTGCCATCTGGTGCGTGCCCGGGACCGCAGGAGGACGCTGACGCGGAACACGACGACTAGCGCGAACAGCACGAACAGGCGACGCAGGGCGAGACGCAGGCGCACGATGCTCAGCAAGACCTCCAGTAGGACCAGTGTAGGGAGAAGGGGCAGGAAGTGGACAGGCCAGCTGTAACTGTGACTCGGACGGGACGGACGGTGGACACTCTAAGGCAGGAGAAGGACCAGAAGAAGGCGGAAGGCCAAGAACCTGCTCAAGGAGGGGAACGAAGTACGGCCGAGGCCGCGCAGCACCTCCAAAACCAGCAGGGACAGCACCAGCACCCCCAGCGTCAGCTCCGACTCCAGCAGCACCACCAGCTCTAGTAGCACCTCCAGCAGCACCAGCACCGCCAACTCCAGCAGCTCCAGGAGCACCGGCTCCAGTAGCACCTCCAGCTCCAGAACCTCCAGCTCCAGCAGCACCTCCAGCTCCAGAACCTCCAACAGCTCCAGCGCCAAAAGGACCACCAGAAGACGGAGCAGCACCGGCTCCTGTACCCCCAGCAGCACCTGCTCCAGCAGCACCCCCAGCTCCAGCTCCTCCAGCAGGTCCAGCACCAGTAGAACCACCAGGTCCAGCAGCTCCAGTACCTCCAGTACGAGCACCTCCGGGACCCGTGGCTCCAGCACCCCCAGCAGCAGTAGAACCTCCAGCACCAGCAGCAACACCAGCTCCAGCAGCACGACTCCAACGCCGAGCAAACCACTCGCGCAGCTCCTGTGGAGAGGGTAGCTCCCGCCGAGGCGAAGCACCCGAAGGACCTCCAGGCTCCGCACCCCCAGGCTCCGCACCCCCAGACTCAGCAACCCCAGGCTCAGCACCCCCAGACTCAGCACCCCTAGTCCCAACACCCCCAGGCTCCGCACGCTCAGGCTCAGCACCCCCAGACCCGGCACCCGCAGGCGCAGCACCCCGAGCAGCACCAGAGTCAACAGCTACCTCGACAGGCTCGACTGCGTCTACCTGAGACACACCTGAGGGGGCAGGACCCTGAGGGGGAAGGGGGTCTACCGGGGGGGGACCTGGCACGAGGAAGAGCGGCGGGGGGGGGAGGGGGGCAGTGCGGTAGGGGAAGAGACGGTAGTACGGCACCGACTAGTCAAACGTGACGTCCTGGGAGGACAGAACACAGCGCGAGGTGGGGTGGTAAAACTGCCAGCCAGGCGCATCAGGGGGGAAGCCAAGGAAGATGCAGGGAACAGCACGGGAGGACAGCTTGTCCGCAGACAAGTCGCGGACGAAAGCTCGAGATCCCCAGACACGGAACGCAGACGCATCGCCAACCTTCCCCGTCCACCGCAGAGTGGGGGAGGTCTCCGGCATCGAGACCCGGGGCTGAAGGTTGATCTGATGCGCCGCGTACTGAACCGCGAACGGCCACAGAAAATGGGGAGCAGCCGCATGGATCATGGACGTACGAGCGACGTCCATGATCATGCCAATGCGGCGCTCAGCAATCCCATTTTGCTGTGGAGAGGCCGGAAGCGTGAACGTCTGGCGGATGCCCTCCGCACGACAGAAGGCTCGCAGAAGGTCGGAGGAAAACTCTCCACCTCTGTCAAAGTGCAGACGCAGAACAGGAAAGTCCGAGCCGAAACTCTCTCTGAGCTGGAGACGGGCAGCGCGGATCCAGTCGATCAACACCTCAGTGACC